GCTTTTGATTCATTTATACGCAAAGTTAGGATTTTCTTTCAAAATGGACAGCATTTAAAAATGAGTATAAGTTCTAATATTTTTTTGGGAACGTTTTTGTTGTATAGGAATGACATAGCATGGTGGTTTCATTGCCTCAAAAGAACTCCCATAACAGTGGTAAAAAGCACTTCTATTTATGTTTGGACAGAATTATAAATGAAACAACTTTTCATGAGACTATGTTTGTGTGTCATTGGATGTGATTTTCCTCAGAAATGGGTAATGAATTAGGCCATTGAATGAGTGTGTTTTTTTTATAGTGGTGTGTGACAAGTCTAAGTAATAGTGGTCCACTCTCAGGCAAAATATGTGGAAGAAAGAAAGTTTGCAGCACTACATGTTAGGGTTTGGACCATGACCTGGTCCTTGAATTTGTTGCAGAGTGAGTGCAGTAGGCTACATGATAGGTTTTGGACCATAACCTGGTCCTTAAATTTCTTGCACCTGCTAGATTCCCACCAACACCTTCAATTATATATGTTTTCATCAATTTGCCAGCTAAGGTTAGCATTTTTGTACTCTGCCACACCATTATTTGCAAGCTTTTTTTTGGGTCATTTAAAGGAAAAAAACAAAAAAAAATTAACTTTTCTAGGGAGATCTTTTATGTTAGGCTTGTACCCACTAGGTAATAGCCTCTCAACCTTATTCCTATGTAGTCATCGATCCGTATCATCGTACTTGCATTTCACGATACATCGAAAAAGGTTGAGATCAATTCAAAAGTAGGCGGAATTCACTACTAGGTTAGCCACATTCTTCCTCTATGCACCACACGACAGAAGATTTTGACGGCTTCGCCAGTGGGCCCCACGTGATAGGATGGTCCCACCATTCCTAGTACAATGGAGATGGTTTTACTTCCTGATAATTAGGCCCCGTTTGGCATGCCTTTTGTTTCTATTATTTTTTATTTTTATTTTTTTAAGCTACTACAGTGTCAATTTTAGCAACAAAAGTATGTTTAGTGCAGCCTTGTTCTATTTTACACAGTACTAAAACACTTCGTGAACAAAATTATATCTAGTTTTTTTTTATTTTGACAATTGTTTATGGCCCAAAACCATAATAGTAGCGCAACACGAGTCAAAAACAAAATGTCTGAAACATCGTTCCCAATCGTGCTTTCGATTTTTTTCCAAAATACTTCTACAGCAAAAACATTGTTTCTGCTTTAATCAAAAACAAAACGCGTAAAACAAAACACATGTCAAACGGACCCCATATTTAGTTTTGTTTCATAGTTAGAAAAGGAGTCACCGTTTGGCATGGTACATTTATTCTTGGGCCATCGGCATTAGTGATTCCATTTGCTTGCTTTATTCTACATAGAAACATTTTTCTGTTTTCTTTTTTAGATTTTTATTGATAGTAAAATGATAGGGTCTTAGCATGAAAGGAGGAGTTGTAACGACTCACTCCACTACATAGTATGATATTGTCCACTTTGGACCTGAGCTCGCACGGTTTTACTTTTGGGCTTTACCCCAAAAGGATAATACCAATTGGAGTGACACACCTACATATAAGCACTTCATATTTCCCTTTCCCAGCCCGTCCACGACACACCCGTCCACATGGTCACATAATTCACCTCCCTTGGAGGCCCGACTTCCCCGTCGGCACACTTCCGATTGGGTCAAGCTCTAATACCATTTGTAACGACTCACTCCACCACATGGTATGATATTGTTTGTTTTGGATCTGAACCCGCACGGTTTTACTCTTGGACTTTACCCTAAAAAGCCTCATCCCAATTGGAGTGACACACCAACATATAAGCACTTCACATTTCTCTTTCCCATGCGATGTGAGATTGTGTACCCGTAACTCGCCAGTGTGATAGCCTGTCAGTGTCTCGCACCCGCTCACAACACACCCGTCCACAAGATCATCATAGGGGTCACTTACGCCTTTTAGATAGTGACCATGCTACTGTTGGATGTGCTTGCTTTATGCTATCAATTGGATTTTTAGAAAACTACCTCCCTCACAAAATAAATGTCATCTATCTTTAATGTCCCAAACTGAATTTCTCTCTTTTTAAAAATGTTACATTTCCTAAATTATACTTGGATTTTTTAGGGGTCAGTTTTAGAAATTAAAGGGTCCACTTAAAAAGTTGAAATAAAAATAATAATAATAATTAATAAAAAAAAAGGTCATTTAATTTGGTAGGGTTGGAGTACCATTATTGTGTTGCTGACGCCTGAATTGTCCAGCCTGATATGGTGCTCATATGCGATGTGATTCTACTTGGTGCATATATAGTCAGACTGTGGTTTAATAAAAATGTTGGATGCATAGCAACTAGCAAAACAATTGAATGTGAGGCCCAACCTGTTGGCTAGTAGAGGTCACTCACCTAATTATCATTTGATGATTCTATTGTTTGGTGTTCCAAAACACAACACGAGCTTTGTCGGAGGCTCAAACCTCTCAACAGAGGTTATTACGGGGTTAGATTTACGTTATGTCTCGGTTGCTTTCAAATTTAATCTTAGACCAAACATTGACAATGTTGATGATGGTTTACAATTTGGATACAACTACTCGTTGTTCTATTCTTTAAATGAAGAACTGGTTTCAATGTCAACTAATATTGCTATCACACGGCCCACCACTGATTGTGTGTTTTGGGGGGGGTGTTGTAGTGTTATTGTGAGTACAACATATGGTAATGGTGGTCTTCAATAATTCTGCAAACTCAGAGGCTGAGTTAGTTTCGAACATGGACTTGTGTGGTGGAGGAGTCAGATGGCTTCATGATTTGCTTATCTAGTAGTGGGTTTTGAAGCTCTCATTCGTTGTTTGGGGTCTTTTGATCGACGACGAAGGTCACACCCACTTCTTTGTTTGTTGTGAGTTGTGACCTGTCCCATCATGCTGGCTTAATGGCTTTCACAACATAACACTCATAATATGAGGCAAGAAATTGCTTTTCATGTTTTGGGAGTGCCATTATAATTGATAAGCAACAACCTATCACTAAACTAATGGTTCTGAATCAGACATAGAGCGAGTTGGTGGGCACCACCACTCCCCTCTGTGTGTGTAGATTCGGAGTTTGGATTCCGTATTATTGCTCTTTTATGGTTCTATTTTACTTGTTTACAAATTTGTAACCATTATCGAGAAGATTTTAAATTTTTTTGTACCATGTTTTTATTTTTTATTTTACCTTTTATTGTTAAACTAGTCAAAACTTTGGTGTCGGAAAAGAAAATCAAGCCAATCCTGCATTTGCTCAAATGATTTGCGGGTTGGCAAGAAAAGGGATGAAAATCCTCAATTTCCCTTCCAATTCTTTCTTTATTTATTTTTTATTTTTTATTTTTTTTTTGGGGTAAAGTGCAGAAATCACCTTAAAGTATGTTTACAGTGCATATTATACCCCCTCACGTGCAAAAACACTCCTAAAATTTCAATTTTGTGCAAATAGGTCATTTTAACAAATTTAAACCCTAAGTTAACTAAATTACCCTTACTGAACCACTTTATAAAATATATAAAAATAAATAATTTTGTAAAATAACCAAAAAGGACACTATTGGAGGATGCTCCTCTCGTGCAAAAAATAACTCCTAAAGTTTCAATCTAGTGCAAATAGGTCCCTCTGATAAATTTAAACTTCAAGTTGACTAAATTACCCTTACTGAACCATTTTATAAAATGTATAAAAATGAATAATTTTATAAAATGACCGAAAATGACACTATTGGAGGACGTAGACAATGGACAAGTAAAGATAAAAATATAAATATAAAAGAAAAGTAAAGATAAAAATAGAAAATAAAAATAAAGTACAAAGTAAAGAAAACAATTTTTTTCCAAATTCCGAAAAGTAGTGCACACTCATATTGGTAAGAAAAAAAATAAAATAAAGAAAAAAAAAATTAGTAGAAAAGAGTAAACTGAAATCTCAAAAAATTCAAATCCTTATTCTACAAATTCTCGAAAAAAAAAAAAAGAAGAAAAAATGTTTAAAGATATATATAAAGAAAAAAGTTTAAAAAATATATATAAAGTAATGTGCACATAACACCCCTATTCTATGATATTAGTAGCATATATACCCCATTGAGAATTTTCGAAAGAGTAAAAGGGCAAAATGAGTATTACAACACTAATTTATGTCCGAGTGAGTATTTTTGCATAATGTGAAAAAATTATGAGTGTTTTTTGCACACTTTTTTAAATAGTGGGTAAAAGTGCTACACAGAGTATACTTTAAGGGTGTTTTCTGCACTTGTCCCTTTTTTTTTTTTTCCTCCCTATTTTTAAAACAAACACGAGATAAGTAAAATACTCTTCTCCTTTGTTTTCTCTCCAATTCCATCAATCCAAACAAGGTTGATGTTTATAAGCTGCATCTATTGAAATGTAGTATATTTGTGAGCATTGGCATTCTAGAAAAATATGTTGCAAAATCTTATGGCAAACCAATCTTGTTTCAAGCTTTGTCGGGAAAAAAGAAAAAAAAATAAAAATTTAACCTTACCATTAAACATCATTGAGCTCATTTTGTGAGTTGTTCGGTCATGAATCTGATTGTGTCTTGCTTTCCTGTCCAAGGTATATTACCATTTTTTCTTGTCAATGTAAGACTCGAAATGGTGGGTCACAACGTGGACTTTTACCATACATATATCATGATAACTACTTGACAGAATTTTTCACAACATACCACCAGAGAGACATGTTATTATTGTGTCTCGATTTCACATTTCCTCTAGCTTGACCAACAACAGCTTTGGGCACTGCACAACTACAGTTTCAAGGCAACCCTCGAAAGTTTCTTTAATCACATCAGAGAGGTTGCCAAAGTCATTTGTCCACCTCAATACATGATGTTGAACTTGAAGCTGGAACTCAAATAACATAACAGGTGCCTAAAACCCTTTTTGAGTGTATTTTAACTAATATAACCAACGCAACATTTGTATAGCCACAAACGATGACCAACAACCATAGGATGCAAAAATTATTTACAAATTGGTCCAAGAACTAGAACAATCAAAAGAGAATTCGGCTAAAAATGGCTAAATTTGTAAGATAATTACAGTTCAGAACAAAACTACAACCATATACCTACATTTCCAAAACTAAAAATGAAACTACAAAGTAAACAAAAATACAAACATAGCATTAATTCAATCGTTCCGTTCCTTGCTAAATTTTGGTAAATTGGACACACCATCATCTGGACAAGATCCACCCCGGCCACCTGAATCTTCAAATTGATCCACCAAATTGGCTTGACTAATGCATCTCTTGACACCACTGTCTCCTACAGTTCTCTCAGATAGGGCAACCAACCCCAAGGCTGTGATACTGCTTGCAATAGCATCAACATCCGTAGTTCCATGGTAAAGACCCCTGCTTCCAGCTACAAAGATTCTGTGTTTCTCATCAGTATTGGTTAAAACAGATGGCATTACATCAATCAATGGTGGATTTGTCTGGCTAGAACTACTAATGAGCAACCGCAGAGTCTCTTTTGCACCCATTTCTACCACAGAATCAGTTTTCGGGATCAATGGGTTCACAAGTTTTGGATGCAATGGAGGTATAGTGGTTGAAATAGCAGGACCTGCACTGACCAAGTAACCTTGGCCAGAGGAGCAAACATCGATAACTGGAATATGAACAATAGGGTCACACATAAAAGGTGTGAAGGTTGGGAACTGCAGTGAACTTTGTACTAGCCCACCCGGTGATTCAGGAAGAAAAGGTGGGAAATCCATAGAGTGAACATCAGCCAAATTCAGAGGTGGTGTTGATGTCAACACACTAGCAGAGTTAGTGGCTGTTAATAAAGAAGAAAGTGGTGGTAAAGAAAATGATTCATTTGATGAGATGGGCAGTTGTGGAAGTGCTACTGTGTATTGCAGAGTTGATGCAATGGGAGGGCACCAACAATAATAGGGAGAGAAAAGAGTTGAACCAATGGAAGAGACATGGGATGTTTGGCTATAAAAGGGCGGCACAACAGATTTCCCAAGTGACTCCAGGAAACTCGATGGAGAAAAAGAGCTGGATGAAGTAGCTTCTACAAGCTCATCTTTTTCAGAATGATTTGAACCAGATGCATCAATTACTATTGCTGAAGCAACAGAGAGATTGTCAAGACCTGAAAGATGGCTATTATCCCCACGCTGCCTGAACTTTTCTCTAGCAACACTTCTTAAGGAAGATGAATTTCTTGACAGCCCCTCTTTAAAAGAACTTGACCTTGGACTGAGGCTACCCTGATATACTGAATTAGTCTTTGCAGCTAGACTACTGTAATGTCTGGAACGAACAGGCTTAGATGATGCAGGCAAGGATTGAGCTGTTTGACAAAGCTCAGAAGAGCCTGATGTGGTACCCAAGGGAGTAGGCAGTGAGACAACCACACCTGCTCGAGTTTCAGTCACTGCTGACCCAAAAAGGTAAGCTCGGAGATGAGTCACAAAAGAGTCGAGACGTGACTCACTGATTCCAGTTAGTTCAGCTAGGGAGGGCTTCCTCTTAAGTAAATCCTTCATCTATCCAAAGGAATAAGTATTCTAATGAGCATTTGCTCCGTCATGTGCACATATAACAGTAATTGAAATTATTCAGATGTACCTTTGAAAGAAACTCTATCCCCAGTAGCTTTGACTTCTCTGAGCACCAAAAATAGAAAACTTCACCATCTGGGATCTTTAGCAGGAATGATCGTCCAGACTTGTCTGCTACGATTTCTTCAATAGCTACAGCAGAGCACCGGGAATCACTGGTTAAGGTTGACAGTCTCTCTGTGTGACCATCATCTCCAATGAATGAGATGCGTAAATCAGATGTTGGCAAGAGCGTGAGATTTAAGTTCCCCCTGTTACAATGTGAGAAGAAAAAAAAGTTAAGAGACAACAGAAAATGGAACACATTCAAAAATAAAACTAATGGTCCAGAGAAGTGCCTAAAATAACCAGGCTGGATAGAATGAGCTAAACTGCCAAACTTGAGAGTAGATCATCTAATAATGTACATCCTTTGGTGCATTAGCTGCAGTTTTAATTTCAAGTTGAAATTTAAAATTCAGAGTGACAAAGTTAAACCTAAAGCTTCTTTTCAGCACGTCCAAAGCAGCATATAGATGATACGGCTCATGTTATACAAATGTTTCAATCTCGAATTATAATAATAGTAACATCAGGTCTAAAATGGGCCCAAATCAATTGGTCAGCATAACTTAACTACATTGAGATGCCTATTTTGCAAATCATGAATATGAATTCAGACCCCAAAAAAATCAGTCTTCACAAACTGTCCATCTCTGAATTCCAAACTCAGAAAAGTCAGCTATTCCAATAAATGCCTGAGGTGTGCAAAACAATGCTCCAATTGAACCTCGAGCACTTTGTACCTGGTTCCCTGGTTCATGCTAGAATTACCGTTGAACGAAAGCCCTTGTTCAAATATTAAGGTAGCCATTGTCCTTCAAATGAATGTAGATGTCTACAAAAGGCAACTTGATATATGCTTGTAGAAAAAATTGCAAACCAACAAAACAAATTATTAAGACCATCCTGTCACCACTAGATTATCTGTCTTTTAAGGTAATGAATCAATCACTACAGTTCAAGTCATTTTGGGACAAATATGATGTCAGAGGGGGTCATTTCACTATAAACAATCTTTAACATGGATGGCAGATCTGCAATAACATCTAATAGAATAGAATTCTTCCACTATGTGATCAAATTCATAGCACCAAAAGATAGAAGTTTTTAGCCAAAAAGGTATGGTTAGATCTATAAAACAGAGGGGAGGGGGGGGGGGACTAATTATGACAAAATGAAATGAAAAGGGAAAACATAAAATCTACTACACAAACATAATATTTCAAGTATAACTGTGCACTTCTAAGACAAGCAATACTTTACACAGTTATATTTCTTATTGATTAAATAAAATGCTTAACCTAAATAGCCAAGAGAAATAAATATAATTCAAAAAATAATAATAATAATTACATGATATAGGAGCTTGAAACTACCTTTACTCCTTAATTCAGAGATCATAATAGAATACGCCCACTTTACCTACAAGTAAAAAGATATATTTATTCGGAAGGATGAACGTTGTCATCATCGATAATCTAAAAATCAGAATCCTTCAATTTCTATTTATCATCAACTACAGGATACAGTTTCCAGCCAAAAGGCAAACTTCAAATTACTGGACAAGTACACGTAAACGTAAACCATTTTAGTGCAGAAGTAACACCCTCCAAGTAAATCACGTTAGAGAAAATTAAAACTAAAGGAAGTTTGGTGCAATCACAAAAATGATTCACACACACAAGACCGAAACATCATATACAAGAAATTTCAGTAAAAAATCCAAATTCTTATACAAAGATATAAGCACCTGAAGATGCAAGAAATTCATACTCTCTTTCTCTCTCTAGAATTCTTACATTTCAACGAAAAGATCCCCCTATTCTCTTCATTCCTTCCCTTCTTTATAGATATTTACAAGATATTTACAAATATTGACGGATTGCTGGATCTGGGCCTGTTCCTCCATAAGTCTTGGTCACCTTTGATGGGCTTATTCGCGTTCGGCCCATATGGCAGTGTCTTTTTATGGGCTGACCCAGCTGTACGGACCGGATGTCGTGCTTGCAAGTCAGATCCGGCCCATGTCGTCCTGGGCCTCCTCAACTGCCCCCATAATTGCCCCTTATTTAATAAGGGGGTAATTATTGATGGCGTCTCATCATGACGTTGACGGCTCGAGAAAACCACGTGGGGGAACGGACAGTCAGATCCAGAATCAATGTTCCGGGGCTCGATGAATTTCTCGCCTTCCTGACGCTTCGGCCCTCGGGCCCCCCTCGCCTTTATAAGGCTCTAGAATACCACTTCACGTCTTTTTACCGTCTCCATCATCAGTCAAATCTCTCTCTTTCTAGAACAGTGGTAAGCTTTTTCTGGTGAAATCCTTCAAGAGTCATTCTTCCAGCGATCTTGCAGTCCTCAGAGGTTAGTTTTGTTCCTTTTTATTTTCGGTAGGCTTCTATTTACCCCCTTTTTATTTTCGGTAGGCTTCTATTTACCCCCTTTTAGATCCTTCAAACACTTCCACCATGGTTGTAGATCTGGATGTTCTTCGTATGAGACTTAGACTTCCTGACAACATCGAAGTTAGGGTTTGCCCTCAGGACGTTAACATTATGACCGGTGCCGGCCTTCTGCCCGGCGAAGTCTTATTCACGAACCTTCAATTGAATGTCGTTAGGTTCCCTCTGCACCCTTTCTTTAGTTATGTCTTCAATAGATTGGGGATATCCCCCCTGCAGGTAAACCCCAATTTCTTTAGAATCATATCCGTTATGCTCCTGTTGATGCGTGACAGAAATCTGGACCTTGACCTCATAGACCTTCTTCTGTGTTATAAGGTCAGTAAGATACGTACTAACGAACCCTTCTACCACCTCTAACCGTTCGAGAAGATGTCCATATGTACGGACACAATAAAATCTGAAAAGGGTTGGAGGGATAGCATCGTGGGCATTAGTGGGGCTTGGTCTTCGCCGGCTGCAGAGGGTTACCCAATCCCGAGCGCCTTTGGTGTCTGTTCTGTTTCCTCCTATAAGAAATTCAAATCTCATAAACATGACTGCCCCTGCGAAACATGCGTTCCCCGTTTTTGTACTTTCTTATGCCGTTCCTTAGGAATACCTTGTGATGACTTGAGCTACAGTGTTTGCAGGGATAGGAGTAATTACTTGAAGAAATACGTTCTGAACGATATTCCTTCCTGCTCAGATCTCCTCACTTCAGACAACCTCTTAGCGCTCTCATCACTCGGCTACAACATGAGCAGGCTTCAGATTCCTTCTTTTGGCAGGAAGAAAAATACTCCCCCAGCCACTCCTGCTGCTGGGGCGACCTCCTCTCCAGCATCAGCCTCTTCCTCAGCCACCATCTCTGACACTATCCCGAGCACAGTGGCTATTAATTCCGTTGTCAGCACCCCTGCTGCCAACCCGAGCGCGTCTCCCCAAACTACCACAGCTCCTGCTGCCGCGGGGGGCGTTCGGGACAAAGAACGAGGCAAAAGGCCTCATCCTGAGAGTGAAGTCGATCCTGAGGATGAACCTCTCATAAGAAGGACCCGGGTCTCCGGGCCGGGTGCTCTCTTGCATCGTGCGATCAGAGCTCTTGCTGCCGCGGGGCCTACTGCAGCTGGTGCCTCTGCTTCTGCTTCAGGACCTCCTTCTATCCCCACCTTACCGCCATGGGCCCCTCGGTACACCCGAACGGATGGGACGTTCGTGAAACCGAACGAGACCATGCTGAAGGATGGCCAGACCGCCATGGCGTACTATAGGAGCATGTGGACTCCGAAAGACCTTGAGGCGGCAAAGGGCCTATCCCAGAAGGATGTGTTCAGCCGCTTTCCCCAATCTGCTATGGAGGTGACTTTTATTTTCCAACTCATGAATTCTCTCATATTATTTGGTCTTGCCTTCGCCTGACCTGACTATTGGCTTAACCGTTATTAATGTACATCTATGCAGACATTGTTCGGAATGATGGCTATGCAGAAGCAGGTGGAGATGGGGAACGCCAGGGCTCGTAAGTTTTCTGATAGCCTGGAGGTGGCTAATAAAGAAAACGACCTTCTCGCCATGAAGAATACCGAGGTACTGGCTCGGCTTGAAAAAACTGAACAAGAGAGAGATGTCCTGAAGAAGGAGAATGACTCTCTTCAGGATGAGAAGGATGCCCTCCAGCTTGAAAAGAGCGTTTGGCAGACTGAGCGTGACTCAATCAGAGACGAAAAGGCAGAGCTCCAGCGCCTTCTGGCTGATGAACAGTCTGCTCGGATGGCTTTTGAGAAGAGAGCTCTGGACGAGCGTACCGCTCTGATCGATGCGATCAGCAGAGTGAGCGGTGGGATGCTGGCTCTTCACGCTCGGTTCTCAAGGGTCGGTGCTCTTAGATATGCTCAAGGATTCCAAGAAGGTTTCGCCGACCGAGTTCCGGATGAGGGACAGACCAGTTCCACTCCAGATGAGGTCGACAAGGATTTAGGGATCGAACCTCTGGGGGTCTATGTCGACCCAGAACCCACCGAAGCAGAGCGCATATTCGATGAGTGCCAGGACATTGCTTCCTCAAGGATCATTACAGCTCCTCCTACCGCTCTGCCTCTGACCGCTCCTCAATCGTCAACTGCGGTACCTTCCATAGCCACTGCTGACGCTGAGCCCCAGCCGAACGATTCAGTCATTCATCTTGATTCCCCACCTCGTGAAGGTGAGACGGCTGATGGGGCCGAGGAGGCGGGTCGGCACAACCAGGAAGCTGTTGGTACTGAGGCGTCTAGCTAGGGCTCCTCCGGACTCTTCGATTCCATACCTTTTTGTAACGATGGACATCTCACTTTTTGTAAACTCAATGCTTAATATCAATGAAATGACAGAACTCTTTTTCCCTTTGTGTTGTGCTCTGTTCAACCTATTTTCAATACACATATATCTTTTCTCTCTTTTCTTTTATATTAGCTTTGCCGTATGTTTGTTTATGGCAAGTGCCTGGCGCTCGGCTAGAATGCCACTTGCCACTCGGCTTAAAATTTTTAGCAAGTGTCTGGCGTTCGGCTTATGGTGCCAGCTGCCACTTATCTTGCTTAAGTGCCTGGCGCTCGGCTAGAATGCCACTTGCTTAAAATTTTTAGCAAGTGTCTGGCGTTCGGCTTATGGTGCCAGCTGCCACTTATTTTGCTTAAGTGCCTGGCGCTCGGCTAGAATGCCACTTGCCACTCGGCTAAAAATTTTTAGCAAGTGTCTGGCGTTCGGCTTATGGTGCCAGCTGC